AAGTTCCTCAGTAGAAATATTTAGACATTTTCCGATGAAATATAGACGACATTGTTTGAAACTAATTTAACGATAATTCACAGATAAATTAAGCAACAAGGCTATTTTATTTACATATTTCACATTGCAAAATATAATTTTAATCTAAAATACTGAATATTCAACTACATCTTCATTCTTTTACGAGACAAAGATGATATTCCTTGAAACTAACTCGAAAAGAAATCACAATTACACTGAGGAACAAAGCTGTTTTATTCCAATATTTCACGTATCAAGGCATTATACAGAATTCAGCATTAAATATCAGATTTTATGGTTTTACTGCAAATTAAGTGGTGATTGAGAATCACCTTCCGAGGACCTTTTGTACTGAAAATCTTTAGGAAGCGAAATTTTAAATCAAATTCTTCATGCTAGAAGAAGATGTGTCGCCAAAATGACAACATTCATCCTGAAAGGGTTAACCCTTAAAATGCCGAGTGCGATCCTATAGGGAGCCCAGAAACTATTTTTCCTTAATAATTTTGTAAGTCATTTTTTGTAATTTTATATTTTCTTTCTCTTTTTCCATTATCAAGTATTGTGGATGATTTGTCTATTCTAAAAGCGAGAAAAAAGAGAAACTACATAAAATATGAAAAATTACAAAAAATGACTTACAAAATTATTAACCCCTTGTCCTACAACAACGAGTAAGACTCGTGGTGAAGATTTTCAACATGATTCAACAAATATATATATTACTCAGTTCATTCGAATTCATAGTAAACATTATTCCTCTGTAATCAACTATTATACTTAAAAGGAAATATAGATATAACATATGCTTAGAATTTTTCTCTTGTTCCAATAAATTATGAGTAACAAAGTAGTCTGTTGGATCGCAGTTCAGAAAGAAATCATAGGGCAAGGGGTTAAGGAAAAATACTTTCTGGACTCCCCATAGGACCTCACTCAGGATTTTAACACTTTAACTGCCATGTCGTCCGAATTCGGGTGACAGCATTTTCTCCATCAACTTAAAAATGAATTTTCTCGGTGACGTACCGAACGAACTGAATTTTGTTAGATGTATTAAATATACAAAGAACAGTAGGGCAATCGTTGCGAAGAATTTTGACCGTTTAGTTTCTGTTTCATTATGAAAATTATTTTGATTGTGTGGAAATATTGGCGAATGTTTATTTGGCAGTCAACGTGTTAAGGGATAAACAAGTGATTCACGCGTTCCCGGACTGCCCGTCCGCGTTGCACGCGACTGCAACCTTATTGCAGCACGGGAACTCGAAACGACAGATACAGTTAGAGGCCTCGACGCGACGCTGTCCCGTCACGAACATTGAACTCCTTGTCCAGCGCAGCTTTTGCGGGGACCTGTACGACCGCAATAAATCCGTCGATGCACGTGGATTCGAGGCGATCCCTCCCCCGGTGCGCGCTCGATGCACCGGCCCCGGTGCAGCGGTGCACCAGAAACGAAAGTTCGCGATGCGCGCCGCGAGACGGGAACTAGTTTCCCTCCCCTTTTGCATATGGATCGCCTCGGTTCCCTTAAATCTCGATGATCGATCGAATTCTCTTTTACATCCGGCTGCGAGAGGAATACGAAGCGACTCCCCTATCTGGGAATAAAGTGGAGGAAAGTAGAAAATGGAGGAATTACGGAGAGTAAAGTAGAACATAGAAAGTGGGAGTAGCAAAGGGAAGAATAGAAAGAAGAATAAGAACAATGGTAAAAATGAACAATAGAGAAATAGAAGCCGCGGAGAGCAAAGAGAACGATGGAAATTGGAATCTAGAACAAAGGCGGGAATGGAAAACAGGGGAATCGAGTAACTGAAGTCTAGAATAACAAAAAGAATATTCTGATATTCAATATAATGTCACAATTCACCGTGGCGTTCCTAGAAATGATCATTCCATTTCTTTCGGCCATGTTTACCAAATTCCAACGCGTAACGAGTTCTCATCGAGGAAGCTGTGCTAAGGGATTCCGTAGAGAATGAACTCGGCGCCGCGCGGTTCACCGGGAAACAATAATCTCCCGCGATTGCGCGTTCCGTCACGTGATTCCGCGGGTCCGGGGAATAGGTTCCGAAGGACTCGCGCGCGCGAACGCACGTAAGGAAACCGTTGCGTAGCGCCGCGTCGGAAAATCAATGCAGCCGGGTCCAGGGGTCTTAATCCGACGCGACCGGTCATCGACGTTTGATCCATTTTTCCCCAGGACCAACTAGGAAATAAATTTCCCTCCCCAACTGGTACGTCCCCGTTACGTTCACCCTTCGACCTGGCAACCGACCCTTCCTCCTCCTGACCTACGCTCCACATTCGACCGTGTCCTCGTTTCCCCCCGTTGTTCTCGCCCCAAAAACCGGTTCGTCGGGGCTGCGGACGGAAAATCTGCGCTAAACGTACTATTGGGAGATCACTTGACGCGCGGCACGTTGCACATTGCGGCTGCCTGTGGAGAAAACCCTGAAATTCGACTATTCTCACGATGAAAATTGAAGGTTACGTTGCTAAGTAATGCAACAATAGTTTTCATTCGAGGAATTAGCGAATGACCAGTGTTTAGCACGCTGGAAGATTGCCCTATAGACATTCGGGGCTTACCACGTGTTTATATTGTTACCTTATTCATTGTTAACTCGTTGAACGCATAATTTCATAAGGCAAGATACACTAAATGGGAAAAATGTAATATTAACCCTTTGCGGACGGATGTCGGCATTTCGGTAAGATGAAATGTTCGTATTTGGAAGACTAAGTCGCGAACAAATGATGTTATTAGTCGATCAGCAAGAGATCAAAACGTAGTTACCTTTTTTTCTATTAATTAAGCAATTGATATGTAATTTAGCTTCATATGTTGAAGGCTCTGTATGTTTCGAAGAATCTTCGTCTGCAAAGGGTTAAATCGTTTGATTGAATTGCATTGTTATTGCACGTTGGTCTGAATTGCCGCATTAGGTAGCGTTATTTATAATATAGAATACAATATAGAAATGTTTTCAAATAATTGTTTAATCGAGTGAATTGTGCATTCAACGTGTTAAATGTATTTACACAGATTTTTAACGATGGAGAATATTCTCTGATGTAAATCTGATCCCACGGAATTTTGTGCAAATTCCGTTTCTCTGTGTAACGTTTGGATCGAAACGCGAGGTATCCATTGTTGTTTAACCAGTTAACTGTGTTTGACGAGTATACACGTCATCGTAAAGCTTGACACGATACTAATTCATTTAGCGATGAATTCTTTATTTTTTCACATAAACATGTAATTTTTCTTTGTTTCGATCTTTCATTAAAATATACTCTACGTGCATTCGTCCTGCGTTCGATGAGTACACACTCCATTTTTTGATTTTATTGCGCGCCAAACGAGAGCTTTTCCCAACTAAATTCCACAGTTAACTGGTTAAGGAACTTCATAATATCCCTATAATGTTAAGGAAAATGTAACCGCCATATGCTTAGTTCTATACCTTACAACTTTTGTCCGAAGCATCTTCCTCTTGTAATTGTTTGAAAATGCGTGGAACAGAGAAATGCGAACTCGTTCTACGATAAAGGCAAAAGAGTTAAACGGCGAGAGTTTTCATAATGGGAACAGAGACAAAAGGAAAGGCAACTTGGCACAGATTTTGGAGGACGACGTTTCGAAACGGATCCTTAGGACGCCAGCTGTTGGCTTTTACTTGTTTTCATAATAAAGCGTTAGGCAATCATATAGATTGTTGCTCACGCTGTAATTGCCAAGTATCGTTCGCGACGCGCGCCGTTGGCTCCGAAATGTTGAATTCTTCGAATAATTCGATCCTTGCGAAGCTAAATCATCGGATTATCTTCGATACACTGCAAAGGAAAAGTACTGTGCACTGGTCTATTATCATTCAAATGATTGAAACTTGATTGTCGTTCGCTTTCGAAGGGTTAACAGCTTCAGAAAACCGTTGGAAAAGCATTAACCCTCTCGGCCACTAATGATTTTTCCTGAGTCCACTTGAATATACGTCTTTAGTTTTATTCTGTGATACAATTTGATAAGAGAGGTCGACACCATTGTCAAATAGAATCTATGGTTGTGATAATATGAGGACGTTTACAATCAAATTTATCGAATTTAGATACACCAAACATTTAGTATATCATGACCGAAAGGATTAACCCTTTCTCAAAAGTTTTTCACTTGAAATATTCAATACCTTCCAATCGGATGTAGACAAGATCCTTTAAAGTTAATTTATCAAGAAATCACACATAAATTAGGGAACTATTTTCTTTCAATAATATATACTATTGGTATACAAAAGTTAACCCTTTGAACTCCAAAAATTTGTCACTAGAAATATTCATAAAATATAATTTTATGAGATATAGATTTTACATGATCTCATTACAAATGTATATGAGATATACATTTTTTTCAACTAACTTAACGAGGAATCTATTCACAAAATAAGGGTAACAATGGTATTTTATTTCCACATTTCACGTATCGACAGATTACTCAAGACTTAACCCTTAGCACTCCAGATGGTTTCATAACGTGTCAGCAATTCCTACCAATTTTCATGGTAGTCCTACTGAAAATTAGCAATGTTATAACATTTCTTAGACCTTTAATTCCCTTCTCAGTACAAACTTTGTATATCTGGAAGATCTAATAATCTTAAGGTAGTTTTCTTAAAATTCATTAAAATACTTAATATTAGAATTGGTGCAATATTGGAGCCTACAGAGTTCAAAGGGTTAATTTTAAATACGAAATTTTACAATTTTGATGCACCAATCAGGTGACTGAGAGGCACCTTTGGAGTGCAAAGGGTTAATAGTAAATACAAAAGTTTATAATTTCACTGTATCGAATCATCTGGCGACTGGGAGTCGCCTCTCGAGTGCAAAGGGTTAAACTTTTATCGAGTTCGCGGAAAGGTCTCCTCGATTCTACAACCGTTCCACTCACGTAAGAACCGTTTCTGTTGCAGGGATGTTCACCGTGAAGAATGGGATGCCGGTGTTCCAGTACACCTTGTCCGAATGGAAGACCGTTGTGACCCATTATGGTGGCCTGGCCGGTCTAGCGCTGATCGGGCTCCTCCTGGCTGCAATTCTCCCCTGCGTCGGGTTGTTCTTCTGTTGCTGCAGGTGCGCCGGCCATTGCGGCGCCAGGAGTCAACCGTTCGACAAGAAACACGATCATTGCAAGAAGGTGATGCTCAGCATGGTGCTGATCGTCGTCGCGACGATTATACTGTGAGTGTTTTAATAACTCGCGAGGGAAATCGAAACCGGAAGTTCAGGGAGTTATGAAAGTAATTTAACACATTCGCTACCAGCGCCTGTTTCAGTGGCGGACTCTATTAGAATATTTTCTTCGATCCAAGAAATCTTCTAAACAAAATATTAGAAAAATGAAACAAACGAATCATTGAGTTCTTAACACAATGCATGCTGGTAACGAGAAATCTTATTTTTATGTAGAGACACTTAGCCGTGTAACCTTGCTAATTACAGTATTTAAACAAATGTTAATTGTATTGAACAGATGATGTATTTAAAATGTATTATACAACAATATGATACTTGAGTTTTCCTATAGATAGTGATATAATTTGATCTCACTGAAAATCGCCATCAGCGCAATTCAATTTTCTGAAAGTTAGCCGGTATGCAATGTGTTAAATATAATGTAGTTTATAGTTTCTAATAACAATATCTATAGGATTTATTTCATTTTCGTTATTTAAAATATAGAATTACGGGCGTTACAAATATGTGACGCTAATGCATTGCAGTTATTTTTGGTGCCGTTGTTCCTTCTCGTCTATAAAATTGCAAAATAAAATTTTTCAAAGGGAGTTGGCAGGGCTATTTCGAAAAATGTTATTTTGCAGTTTTATAGACGTGAAAGGACAATGTATGTCCTGCAATGTATTAGGCTTGACTTTACTTGCACAGAAAGTTTCATAATTTGAAAATGCTTGTTTTCTGTTATAATAATAATTTAATGTATAGTCTTTAACACATTACACTTAGTGTTTTGTGGCCATACCCATTAATGGACTCAATTCCAAAAACAATCTGACCGAGAACTTTTGAACGCCACTGTACATATTGTACATATATTATATATATATTCAATTGTTCTCGCATCCAAAACCCCAAGATGGTCTTACCTCCCGAACGTACGATAAGTCACATTGATTTTCATCGAATCAAAAACTGACTGGCGCACTATCCGATCTGCAAATGCAATTACGAGTGCAAGAACTATGTAGTTAGCTCTTCAGCAGGCATCGATCAATCCGTTCCCAACGCGTCAACATCGAAGGAACGAAGCTTCGGATTACCGCCGTTAATCAGTCGAAATCTCATTACGCTGATCCAACAACCCTGCTGTCGATATTAAAATTCCCTTGTGACGTTGCGATACCCTATTGAACTCCGCAACTCCGCGGACGCGAATTCTAAGCTTCGAACCGCATCTTTCGATTCTCCTTGGAACACTTGAACTTTCCGAAGATGTTCGCATTCGTCTGCCTTTCCAGCATCTAGAAGCAACTGCCAGTCGGTGTTTGATTAAATTACAGTTAACACGTTGAATGCCATGGGGGTCACCGGTGACCCCCAATCAAATCGAATTATTACAGTTCACTCAATTAAACGATGATTATTTGAAAACATTTCTATATTATAAATTATGCTACCGAATGAAGTGATATTCAGCTAGATGAACGTGCAATAATAATAATGCAATTAAATCAAATGATTCAACATTATATTTTTTCATTTTGTGTATTTTCGTCTAAGAAATCATACGGCGTTCAACGTGTTAATAATGTGTCAACGCATGGAACATTCGAAACAAGTTAAGAAAAATATTCTGCGTGAATAATACTAAACACTTGTTCTTTTATTAAATGAAGAAACTCCATGCGTGAAAATGCAGTTTGAACTTATTACATTATGCAACAAAGCGGAATTTGTTGAAATATTTGCATTACCCGAATTTGAGACATTTTTAACTCTTTGTGGACGAATGGCATTCCAGCGAGATGAAATTGTTGTATTAAACAACAAAAGATCAGCGTGCAGTTTCCTGTTTTCCTATTAACCCCTTGGCGTACTAATTACTTTCGCTACTAAGCTCGTAACATTTTGCTATCAACAATTTGGAAGAAATGCAACAAAATTATCCGTTCCACCTGAAGTGGAAATTTCATTTGAGGATAATAAATTAATAATAGCAAAATAGTTCTTTTCTTTGATCCGTGGGCAATGAACAACATTGATTGTTGCTAAATTGCTCTAGAAATCTTCATCGCGAGTCTCACTTGTCATTGTACGGCAAGTGGTTAATTAAGCAATTGTGTTATTTAGCTTAATCTTCCGAAGGTTACGTGTATTTCAAAGAATCTTCGTCCGTAAAGAGTTAATTGAATAATGAATATTTATAATGAAAGTATCGAGTGCAAAGAGTTAACCTCGTCGGTCGTGTTCTTTGATGATTCCAGGTTCGGCGTGGTGTGCGCGTTCGTCACGACGGAGTACATGCAGGAGGGCACCAAAGAGCTGCCGAACAACATCAAGGTCAGCCTGAAGGACGTGAAGCTGTACCTGACCACGACGAAGGAGCAGGTGAACGCTGCTTTGACGACGAACTTCGACGAGCTGGAATTCAACCTGAACAACATCCTACAAGCCAGCGGCAGGATCGTCACCGAGCAACTCGCCGAATACTCGCACGCGGTCTCGTTGACTAATCTGAGCGACATCGTGGCTGGCCTGGAGTCCGTCAAGGAGGACTTAATGACCATGCAGACGATCACCAGAGATCTACGGACGAACGCCAGCCAATTGGACATCGGTATAGTGCAGCTACGACGAGTTGACAGACTATTCAAGCTGAAAAGTCAGAGATGCTTGGACCGCCTCCATCTTTGATACATGATCGTTATTGGCGGCACGGCAGTAACAAGGAGAAGCGAGATCGAATGCGACGGAGTGAGATGTAACAGTAGAAAACGAAGTTGGTACTATGAACTTCGATCTGTATCATTACATCTCACTTTATCGCTCAGCTTCGCTTCTGTCCTTTGCTACTGACGCGCAGCCAATAACGATCACGCGTCGAAGACGGAGGCGGTCCGAACGTCATAAGTGGAAGAGTCCCTCTGCCTCTCTGACTTTTCAGCTTGTGTGTAGTCCGCCACTTCGTCGGAGCTGCGTGTTACTTGTTTCTTCGTTTGCTTGGAACGAGAATTGCGATAGAAAACGCACTTCGAAGATCTCTTTGTTTTCGACTTATTGAAGACTAACTATACGCGTCAGTAATCGTTAACATTAGGTCTACGCAATAATTTCATGTATATTGAATTTTATAGACAATATTTGGTAAACATCGACTTTGATGCAATTGCATCAGTATGTATGTATTTCAATTATCTATTTTTAAATCTCTAGTAAAATCCGAACGAACAAGGATTTTTCTAGGAAGTAGAATAAACCGTACAGTAAATGTTCGTAGACCTAGTGTTAAAGGCTTGAGAATATAGAAACTCTGAAGCATTCTAATGAATCATTAACTCCTCGCGGACGAGACTGTCTTGAACTTCTTCTGATAGAACACTGAATTATACATTGAAATTTTTAATACTAAAAGACGACCGCGTGTCAGTGTCTCGTTAGAATAACTAAGTTATCTATTTGCGATCTTCGATTTTAGACGTCGTAGCTTGAACTTCCCATTAGACAACATTCAACCGCAAGGGTTAAATAGTTTTGGAAACGATAGCTTTGAATCTTGAAATTAGACACTTTAAACGAAACAGTTCCGAGCGAAGTGAATTTTATTTGATTTACAAATAAACACACTGCAGGTGCGGTTGTTGTATTAATACCACTACTGCATCGCAGCCTCGATGAACTGATTGTATTTTTCCACCAGTGGTGCGAGGCGTGAAAAGCAACCTGCTGCACACGCTCTCGGCCTGCAAGACGCAGAACTGCAAGCAGGTCCTGAACGATTACAAAGTGAGCCAAATGTCGGTTCAAGTCGACTTCGACAAGGTATAAACACCGCTTTGCCTCTACCGTATCCGGCCATAGATCGTTCCGTCACTCGACTAATATATTCATTTCTTTTGTCCTTTACACGCATGCAGTACATGGACCGCTACTTTCCGAAGGTATGACTTTATTGCCTGATAAGAAAACGTGTGCAGGTTGCGCAGGGGAACAGTCGCCAGGTTCCAAAGATGCAACAGTATCATTGAAACATTGAAAAGAATCGATCGACTAATTGTTCTCTAGTTCGCGAGACATTTTTAAATTTCAAGATTCATATCGTTTATCTTAGATAAGTTCTAAGTCAATTATAATTAATTCTTGCATTCAATATTCTTGAACAAACGATTCACAGTTATAATCGTCGATCTTTCACCCGCATTCGACGAACACCAAATATGGCGGCGACCGTCCCGCGCAGCCTGCACCTCAACAATTCACCTTCGACCGCTTTTAATTTGCTTGCGTTTCATTTCGTTCGATCGAGTTCTTACATCGTAGGCCAATGGAAGTTGATATTGTTTATTTTTCATTTCATTTTTATCGAACGTTCCTTTCAAAAGTTTCTTATTCAATGATTTTTCTGCGTAATACGGAATAACGCGTCTAGAACCGGCGCTATCGTTTATCATAGAATAATGAATGTGCAACCATTGGTATACGAACAGGATTACTGTATCAATTTGTCTGATTCCATGCTCGCCACCAATAGCTTCAGTCTGTAAGTCGTAAGCTAAACAAGCATGTGGATTTTCGATTCTGTGTACAGTTTTTTTTCTATGTGTGATGTTCAAGTGAAACCGCCTCTGTTTAAGTGTGATGTTTAGAATGAACGGGGACGGGGCTGGTTCGAGAACCGTCTGTCTTTCGAGTTCTCAGGAGAAACTACAAAAATAGAGTCCTAACATTTTTTCCCTTCTTTATACGTTTATTCATTCGTTCGTACATATATCATTACTCGTTATCGTTCATTATTATTCGTTAATGTTCTCGAACGAGAGGAGAGAGAGGATCGAGTACGAATGCAACTCCTTCCACTTTGCACAGTTTCGTTGGTGAACCGCACAGAATTCAGTCTTGAAAGTTCTTCTGTCTCTTGTTGCACCGTGTGTCTGCGACTCACTTTGCATTTTGTAACTCTATACAAGGAAACCCGTTTATACAGTTCATCCGCCGCGACACACTTGCCACGAATTCCGTTACATCTTACATGAAACTCATCTTCTCCGTAGGAACGACTGTTTTAGAAGGCCTCGAGCATGACACTGACTCTTCTGTTCGTTTCGATTTACGTTTCTGCATTACATTCACTTTCGATGGGACTTTTCTTTCGGTCGTCGAGGTTGTCGTTCAATCTCGAGAGATCAACTTGCGAAACGGTTTCTTGCAGTTGCCGAACGTCACGTCCGCCCTGTACAACATCACCATGCTGATGAAAGGGAACATCGTGTCGGAGGTCAGCCAGGGCAAAGAGTCGTTCTTGAAGATACAGAAGGACATCCAGCACGCCGTGAATCAGACGATACCGATGGTCAGCGCGAGCATCAGAAAAGCCGGTGACAATCTGACCAACATCGCTGATGACATTACAGCGTTGATCGATAGGATAAACGTAGACATTGACAAGTTCAATATCCGGCACCTGGACGTAGCGCGAACGCACATTGACCAATATTCGTTGTACAGGTAAATGGCAGGGTCGAGGGAGGGTAAAATGACTTAGGAGACAACCGGAAGTTCTTCGACACTTTGTAAAAAGTTCAAAGTCTTTCCCATAGAAAACTGAATGAAATATTGAGACATCCTTGAATTTTCCAGGTACTACTTAGGCTATGGTATATCCAGCAGTCTACTGACCGTTCTAATTTGCCTGACGTTCGGCCTCTTCTGCGGAATCTGCGGGAAACGTCCAGATGGCTACGGCGATGACTTCTGTAACAAAGGCTCTGGAGCGCGATTCTTAATGATGTGAGAATTGATTTGTGGATATTACTTGGAAAGTACTGGAATTAACACGCACCATTTCAGGGCTGTCTCCGCTATCTTCCTTTTAACGAGCGTGCTGATGGTTATCACGGTGATCCACATGGTCACCGGTGTCCTGGTTCAACGAGCAGTCTGCGAGCCGCTGAAGAACCCTAGGGACAACAGGATGTTCAAGCTAGTCGATGAAATGGTTGAAATTAGGAAGATTCTGTACCCGAAGAACGTTAACGCCGACGTGAATATGAGTTCGATAATCACGTGAGTATACCTGAAACAAGGATCAATGGGAAACCGTGTGGAACTCGGAATGAACATGAATAAATAATAATCGCAGGGAATGCCACCTGAATAAGACCCTGTATAACGTGCTAAAGCTGAAATACCTCGTCGACGTGAACAGCCTGCGCGAATACGTCGGCAGATACGACATCAACGACACGATTCAACAGCTACGCCGGAAGATCAGTTTGTCGCCGGGGGTGGTGATCCTGACGGACAGCGCCAAGTCGAAGTTGTACGACCTCGCTCAGAGCGGGCTCAGCGACATAAAGTTCTACCAGTACGCCGAAATTCTCCACGAGAACATCACCAACATCAATCTAGAGCACTTGGCTAGACAACTGCGGGAAGTCTCGGCCAAATTGCCCGAAGGTCAAGAGGAAACGAGACTCAGCCTGGAGAAGAATGCCCACGATCTGGACCATTATCACAGGGATCTAGTGGTGCCTATGGCGATGCTAAGCGAGCAGCTGAACGAGACAGCGCTCACGCTTCAGGAGACCATTAAATTTAATCACAGCTCGATGGCGGAGGCCATCCACGTCCTCGTCGACGAAGTCACGAAAGCGCAGCAGTTCCTGAACAAGGACGGGCCGGAATACGTTCAATATGTAAATTATTTCTTTTCTCTTTTGTTAAAAATCACTTGGACGCAGCCTGATTTTCTAGGTTACTGGAAAACCGGAACGGTCGTGTTACCTTTCGCTCGTTTTTGTTCGTTTGCAGCTAGCAACCAGGTTTGGAAACGCTTTCCTCCGCCAAGTCGATGTCTTCCTCGAGCACCTCATCGAACGCGCGCTGCAAGACATCGGAAGATGCGCTCCCGTTTCGAACGCGTACAACGCTACGGTGGTCGCTGGCTGCAACAAGATCTTGGATCCATTCGTGAGTCTATCGACGATCTTTGTTAACCCTTTGCTAAGCTTTCCACTAGAAACATTCGACACTTTCGTATGAGACGTAGACAACATTATTTTAAAGGAATTAATGAAACACGTAAATTAAGAGACAAAGCTATTTTATTTAAATATTTCACATGTTGATGCATTATACGAAACTTAATATTATATATGACACTTTGTAATTGTATTATATCGAATGAAATGGTGACAGTCATCTCTCGAGTGCAAAGGGTTAACTTTCAGCGATTGTTCACCGGTTGGAAATTATTTGGATGATCTTTGTGTTTCCGGGACACGCGTAGAACGGTTTCTGGGCGAGCGTCGGCTGGTGTTTGATCCTGTTCATTCCGACCATAGTGTTGTGCGTGAAACTGAGCACGCTGTACCAGAAATCGGACCCATACCCGGGGCCCCTAGTCGAAGCGTAAGTTTCTTTTACTTGCCGCGTCACTTAATCCTCGACCGATATACCAAGTGTCGCTAGATGTTCCCAAGGCGTAATTTAAGTATACTTAATGCATGCGGATTCTGAGAAAGAAAAAAAAAGAACCAATATGTCCCCTTGGTCGTGAAGTTAGAAATATATAAAAAGAAGAATCGGGATCAAATTGGCGCATTGATATCACCGAGGAAAACTAAGAACAAAAACTCATTACATTGAAACAATCGCTTCTATGATTTCTCCGCTAATTTCTTGCCAGCAGATACCGAGCACCCTTTCTGTAGAAACTGTTCAGTCTTCTATCTCGACCTCTCTTGGTAGTTAATCGAGCTTCCATATACCCGTAGCATGCACTCATTCGAAGCTTCGTAATATCTTTTCATTTTCTAGTCAAAGCATGATCCATTCCGCTATCTTATTAGAGCGAGTCCCAAAGTTGCAGCGGCGAAATCTCTTTAAGCAGTCACGTGGCAAACGACGACCCGTGTATTTACCTATGACAGAAGCGCAGCGCACTGCCTATTTCATTTTCTGTTTTCGTCTACTCGGTGTGTGCGTGCGTGTGTTGATCACTAATACCTTTCTTTTCATGCCGATTGTACGCGTCTTCTTCTTTTCCTGAACGTACAGTTTATCAGAGAGAACCAAGCGTAAAGCAATATATACTCATCTCGGCAGGCAGTTCGATTGTCTCTCGGTTCTGATATTTGTCATCTATTTCTACTATCTGATTCAAAGCTCACACAGTATTTCAACGCGAGAATTACTAAATTAATCAAATGACTCTTCAACGCCTAGCAGTTCGAACGAGATTAAACAACGGTTACGATCAAGTCAGAGACACCAAAGACAATCGGATTGCCGGTCGTCCCGCAGTAGTTTATATTAAGTTAAAAGTAGCTGTCTAATGTGTGGAATGGTTGTTGGAATCTAACCGCTAACACGCTCCGTTCCAGTGAATATTTGTATGACGCGTACGCAGACAGGGATAACATACCCCTCGCTCAGTAAGTATACAACTACAACAGCCAAACTTGCTCGCATGGTGTAATTCTGTTTGTTGTACGTGTCGCATGTATACATTCCTAACGCTGCGAACACAGTATAGTATCTTCGCTACACTCTACCCAACGCTGCCTGTGTCTCGACTACAGACATACTGTTTGGTACTTGGTAAAACCCAGTAGCATGTCCAGTAGCGAACTCTCGTTAACTGAACCGTTGGCATGTTCATTCCTGGCATGCAACATCCTTCGATACCCTGTGAACAAGATACCGTAGGATTACAATTAACATCTGAACGAACAATCCCAAATACTTTTGTCTAATCAAGATCACGTCGACGATACGAATCCTACGGTATCAACATCTAGATACATAACTCTGTAATCCGTTGATACTCCTCCGCTATCTAATCATCGCTATTGACACCTTCTCGAAATTTCTTGTTCGATTACCACGATTCGCAGTCGATTACGATGTTATCACGTGATGCGTTCGGCGATCAGAAGGTGTCGACAGCTTCGAAGGTTTAGCAGCTCGTCTAGCATCCTCCGGAACGCTTCTAACTAGCAACGAATAAAGAGTACGGCTTCTAAACCTTTTTTTTTTCTTCCTTACACGCGCGAAACAGCATTGACGGCGTGTTCTTTGATCAAGCTAGGACACTAACGACACACGTAACACGCAGAGACAAGCTTCTAGAAAACAGTATACTGATTTCTCTAACTCGCATGACGAGTGGCCAGGCGGGGCCGCCGGTGCAATCCGACTAAGAGCTGCCTTTTGATTGCAGTGTTCAGGACAAGAAGTACGAGTCGCACAACAGGCACCACCCGTCTGCGTACGTGGAAAGCTACGACGGTCCTGCTATCGGCTACAGCGAGAGGGAGAGGATGTCCGACGCCCATCAGAGCACGTCTCGCCACGACTCTAGATATTCCGATCTGGCGCCGAAGTAAGTGTCCCCCGTACCAGTCGCTCCCGGATCCATTGAAAAATCGAGACCTCGCCAAGGAACAGGATACCCTAAATTGTATTGTGTCTATAGTCAAATCTAATATCGGTGGCTATTCAGGTAAAATGCTACCTCTCGAGCGTGTCAAGGAGTCAGGGTTATATGAGCCGCTCGTCGGCCATGTCGGAACTCCGCGAAACATCCTTATCATTGTAATGTTTACAAGAGTAAAGGAATATTTATTCCATGATACTAAACCCTGTGAAAACATGTAACTCTTTGCACTCCGATTTTGAAAACCTCTCAGCAACACCGAGTCATTTTATTGAGTCACCAACTATTCCAGGATTATTTACAATAATGCGCGCCATTTCTAATGTTTTATTTAACACTAGGTTTACGGAACGCGTCAATTTGACGCAGATTGAATTTTATAAACATTATTTGGTAAATGTTTCAATCGGTTTTCGTTGATCCAATTACACGAATATGAATCCTGATTGTCTATTTCTACATCTACAGTTTCCAAAATCTAAATGAACGAATATCAACTTCCCCAGGAACAACAGAATAAACTGTACAATAAATGCCCGTAAACCTATTGTTGAAACGAAGGTATCAACTTATCTTACAATGTCGCCGCACGGAGTGCAAAGAGTTCTAACAAGCTGAAGACCAATAGAATCTTGAGAGAACATAAAACACGGAGTTAACCGATAGGCGACTCATAGATCATCTTTTCCCTGGAGTAATCGCCCAGACATCCTCACTGAACAATCGACTTTCATTGATCGACGAGTCTGTCCGTTCATCGGCGATCCTGTTCCTTTATCAGTCCACGTTCTCGCCGAATCATTCGACTTGTATCATCGTTCCTCGGTCCCGGGGCAGGACAGTCGTTGACCCAGCGGAGAACGCCTCGCGTCAGGGGTTGCAAAACGCCTCGGCCTCTTTTCTCGCGAGCGAACATCGACCAGCACGTGTTCCGGCATCGTCTATCTCTTCCCCGGTTCACGACAGTTCATCTCTGGTTTGTTTTGCCCGCGCACCTACCGCCTCCCCTTCCGGTACACAACCTCAAAGTAGAGTCTTCGGTATATCGATAGAAGCGCAGTAAGTCACGCAACCATTCGCATTTGGAATTCCGGTAGTCCTTTCGGTTCAGCTTTCTGTGGATACGATCGCGCGCTACGGGACACCTGGTCTTACCGGCAATCTTACGCAAACAACCTCCGTCTTTATCTTTCTTTCCCTCTCTATCTCTTTCTCTATCTCTTTCTTTATCTGTCTGTCTCTTTCCTTCTCTCGAAATGCTCTTTTCCTTTTTTTCTTTCACTCGATCGGTGAGCAGGGTTCCCACTCATCGCGCGATACTCTTTCTCCGCCCGTTGTCCTGCGGCTCTCTAACACACGCTGAAACATAACCGTGGATGGGATCAAGTTCGACTTGCTCGATGAAATTTCGGGACCACACGGCGCACGGCCCGCATTTCGGGAACTCGAGACTCCGCTTCGAATTGTGAAACGCTGCCTGGCTCGAAGCGTTCGAAATGATCGATTAATTCCTTTCTTTCTTTCTTTCTTTGCTGTCCACTCAACAGAGGAGCTTGCACAAGACCGTTTTATCCAGGCGAATTTCATTGATCTTCTTCTACTTCTTTCTCCTTCTTCTTCTTCTACTTCTTCTTCTTCTTCTTCTTCGTTGTTGATTTGGCTTCTTCGACATTTCCGGTAGCTCGACTCGCGTGAACGACTTCGTGCCTCGAAGCAACCAGTAGAAATTGGAATGCCATCGCAACCGATCGATCGTAGATATTGTATTAACGTTGACACACCGCTTGATCCCGTCCGTACAACTCATGCAACCCCGTTGGTCACGCTTTTTCTCCCGGTTATTTCCAGGTGAGTGGGAACCTTGCGGGGGGGCAACTTCCCGCGTCTCTCGATACGCCTCTGCAC